TATGACCCAAAAAAAAGAATTAGAAGATATAGGATAAAACTTGCAAATAAAGATAGAAATGGTAAGATAGTACTTTTTATAGAAATCAATTTTATATTATTTAAAGGCTTTGTGAGTATCTGGTAGACTTCTGACAAAATTCTTCTAGTAGTCTAGCATAGCCCATTGAACTTTATTTCAATTTTAAAATTCACCGATGCGTACCGATAATCTTTTGTCGCCAAACTTACAAAATTGCTTAGTTGGCAATCATATCATAAATTGATCTGACACAAAAATGGTAAAATAACGGTTATGATAATTGATAATACCTTTATATTAAAATGTAAAATGCATTTAATTTTATTTTAATACTTTTGTGATGTGTGCATAATGGTAAGTTTTGCACAGCACTTAACATTAATGGTGTGTTTGATTGCATTTATTTTCCATGAAAAATGTCAATTTTTTATCCAAATTCCTACTTTGAAAAATATGTCTAATTTTCCTTTTTTTAAGGAAAATATTTTCTTTGGAGAAAGTAGATTTCTGTTTTCCTCGAAACAAGGAAAATATTTTATATTCTAGAATATATTTTTTATATCATTCAAACACACTCTGAGTGAAATACATATTATAAAATGACCGTGAATGAGCAATTTGTCAATTTAGGATATGGCGGATGACAACTGTGAATTTTAAAACTAAAGTAAAGTTCTGTTATTTGAGACAAATTAAAATGTACTAACCAATTTAATGTTATAAGAACAGATTCTATTATGAAGGATGCATCTAAATTACAAATTCAGACTCAAACGCATATACGTTTTACAAATTTAGATGATAAAATCTTAATTTTGAAATATTATGTCAAAAAAGTGATAGAATTCAACCAAATAATGAACGCCAAAATAAATAAATGGAAGCTCAAGCATGGCAACGCCGTTTCGACTACACACATTATAAAGATGAGAATCGAGGAAAAGAAAACGCCATGTACGTTTTTGTTTTCACGATTCAACATACTCTGCAATGAAGAAAATCTGGTTTTTATAATTAAATTCTTCAAGTACAAAAACAAAATCGAATAACAAATGAGACCACGTCCCCACCTTAAATATTATCATTATAACAAAAATTAAAAATTAATCTACAACAATTGTGCATCTCTAGAAAGTAAATTCTACCGTTGAGAATGCAGTGTCCATTGGCAGGTCTAACTTGTTAACCATGGATAATATTTACACAAGGGTATTCATCTTCGAGTTGCAGATTTCACCTTTGTTCCCAGTTTCCTTGCAGCATATTGAATAGCTGCTTGATTTGGACGTCGGTTGTGGCTCTTCTTTTTACTGCATTTTCCATCAAAGGTTCAGCAAAAGGACAAATAAATTCCAATGTAGTCGGAAATCTTCCTAATATAACTGGAGAGGATAAATCATATGTATGCAAAGCTTCGCAATCAACCTAATGCATTGAGCTTAGGAGAAAAATGCTTTATGATTTAAGTCCAATGATGTGGGTTACAATGTCCGAGGTATAACTCTAACTTGTGAGAAAACATGATCCCGGGGGACAAACTTTGGTTGAAAACAAAACAATTAGCATTGTAGTGTCCATTCAAAGTAATGTGAGGATGACTGCTGACCAAAAATGAAGTATGGTGATTGAACGAAACTGTTACATATGGAAATGGGCAAAGGCACAAAACAGACACACATACACAAACACACCAAGTCCTAGAAAAAGCATTAATGACCTTGCAAATAGAAGTCCTGCCGTAAGAACCATCCCTCCTACTGCCCAAGAAACTCTTTTGTTAAATGGCATTTCAGCCACCCATTGCTTGAAATCATCAAGAACTCCTGTGCTCTCTTCTCTGTGTGAAACCCCAGATACTGGAGTTCTCCAAGAATCTGCAATATAATCAAGACTAGCCTTCCCACCATAGCACGATATTTCTTCAGGATCATAAGATGACTCAACAGAAAAACCCGCCACACGGCAGAGCTCTGTTCCATTTGAGATCCATTCCGAAGCTCTACCACAAACAAGGTTGCCCACTCCACATGGTTCTAGAACCTGACAAGATGTTTTCGGAGTAGACAAAAAAAAATCTGCGAAGTCATTGATGATTTCACTTATGGCACTCAGTTTCAAAATAATTCTGCATTTTTTAGTCCAATAGTATGCGATTTGCCACCAAGGAAATTACCATATATGATGTTACTAAAAAAAGATCAACTCCTTAAAACAAAGTATCAAAAGTAGAACAAACCTGTGTTCTTGCATCTATAGAGAAGTATGCAGCAGAGCATGCCTCGTACACTCTATCACAAAAGGAGACACATACAACTGGAGGTCCACGTTGTATACCTACCCGCGGATCACAGATGGAACATTCCAAGAGTTCCCATAATTGCAAGCATTCTTGGCTTGCTTGCCCAGTGGAAGCTAGCCTCCTAATGGATAGTAAAGCAGGATGTGTCTGAATGATATCACAGCATGTCTTTTTGCGGAACACCCTGCAAAGGGTCAAATCTCTGGGCCCCTTGCTTGCTTTCCTTGGAGGTTTCCCTTCGTTTGAATATGGATGGAATCGACCACCCGGAGAAATGCAAACGTCATTAGTTTTGCCTGCATTGGAATATCAAAGCATTTAATAGATTCACAAAAATCTTTCAACTACAATTCAAATATATTCCAGTATAAATAAGAATAAGCAACATGAATCAAGAAAATATAATTACTAGTTCATTCTAAATGAGATCGTACAAGCTACAAATCAAGTATTTACCATTTGTTTCCAACAATTACAATAATTTAAATTTGACCTAGGAAAACTTTTAGAAGCCCCATTCTTTTCATTGTGATATCACAGCACACGACTTCCCTTTTTTCCCCAAAAAGGAGAAACAACAATTTACATAATAAAGTACTTCACCAGAAAGTTTTTAAATTTGTATGTGAACTGCATAAATAATATGTTCATTTTAGCCCTTGCATAATAAAAGAACAGTTGGGAATCTCCATCCAAATCCATTAATCCATCTCAATTCATCCATTGTTATTAGATATGGATCCATCCAAATAATGTTAATGAACAATACTGGACCATCCAATAATAAGATACAACAAAATCGAAAACTACAGTCCAATTGTAAACAAACCATTAAAAAAATTCCTAACCTTAAGTCCTTCACTTTGAAAAGCACTTGAACAAAAATAATTTTTCATTAACCAATAGGTTTATCAATAGCATGCCAAGCAACTAGACCTTTATGTAAGTGTCCATAATCACTCAAATCTCAATAGTTATTTTCCTTGTCATGATCGGGTTTTTTTTCTCTGCTCTCAGAAAATGATGTTTGCATCTCCTTTCTAGATGAAGTTAAATTAAATTAAATTAAATTAATTAATATGCATCTTATTTTTGCTAAGAAAATGCACTTGAAATTGCTAACTGAAAATGTTAAACGTGTAATCTCTTTTTTCTCTGGTGACACATAATATACAAGATTTTTTTTTTTTTAAAAGTAATCAAATATTTTATTACTCAATATATGATACACAGGAAGTGTATTATCAATTTAAATCAGAAAGTAACAACATGAAATTAGGCAGCTTATCTATATGCCTAGTAACCACAACATTAAATCAAGTATAAAATGTCAAATTAAAAAATTCCCTAAACTGCTCTGTTGTCCGTGTTTGGTCTTCAAAACAGCGTCCATTTCTCTCTCCAAATACACCATACGATGCAGCTCGGAATAAAGTCTCATACAAGTTTGCTATCCTTATCTCGAAATTTTCTTCTCCATACCTTTAACATGTCCTCCATATGTTTTGACAACACCCAATCCATATGCTGGGACGCCAAAATATCGTTCCACAGTAAACAAGCGGGATCAAGAAATAAGTGATCAATCGTCTCCCCATCCCTCTTACACATGTTACACCACTCTGTAACATAAAAACCCCTTGTGCGAAGGTTATCCACTGTTAACACTTGTCCTCTGATCACCATCCATAGTAAAAATGTCACTCGTGGGGGCAGTTTACGTTTCCATACCATCTTCCAAGAGAATGAACTCTCGTCAAGTCCCAATAGAGATCTAAAATAGGTGCGAACTGAAAAAATACCATCTCGTGTCAATCTCCACTTGCTACAATCATCTTCTCCTGCCCTGATATGTACCTCGTATAAAGACGTCAAAAACAACGCATAATCATCCAAGAATTGAAGTAGGTTAAATCAGTTTCTTCTTCCCAAAAGCATAATAAATTATCTACTATAGACCCAGGGTTTAGAGCTACATACGTATCAGCTGCTTCACCATCATAATATCGACCATGGCCCCAATGCTAGAAACAAATCAAAACTAGGCCAATTTGATTTGTGCATAAGATATTCTATTGCAAAGGTGAGTCCCTAGGATCCTCATAATCACAATATTGAGTTATTTCCAATGGACCTTCTCAATCTGATCCTAGGCATATTAATTTTCTTACTAGACTGCTTCAGATTTTGTGCAGTTTGCAAAGCTATGCTTACAATTAGACTTAAACTGAACGACATTTAGCACCAAAAAAAAATTCTTTGAACAGCTATAGAAGGTAGACTGGAGGTAGATATGTATGCACTTTGGCTTGGAGGAGGATTTCCTTAAACCAATGTAGCACACAAAAGATAGGTTAGATCATAGTTATTAAACCTGGACTAGACTGGCGGTCCACCCAGAAAACCAGTGAACCAGAACCTGGTTGGGTCCAGTCAGCATATTTGGACCGGGTCTCAATTGAACAGGTCATGAACTGCCCAATCTGGCCAGGTTTCACATTAAACTGGTTTCACCAAACCCAGCGGTTGTTTGCAAAATGGGCGGTCTTTTGCAAAATGTGCAAAATTGTGGAGACCAAGTCTTGAAACCAGGACCTTAACCTTCTTAAACAGGTGCATTACCACTAGGCTGCCTCCATTGTTTGGTACAGACCAACTAAAATTATATGTAAACATCTTATTGGAGATTATGTTATTTTAAAGAATTTTAATTATTTATTGTCTTAGAAAAAACAATCAAAAAAATACATAGATTTCAAGTCTAACTTATCTTTTATGGTCAAATTTAAAACATAAAGAAGAAAATTTATGAAAAAAGAATTAAAAGACTGATCGATGATAGAGATACAAAAGAAATAATGAAAATCTATAGGTCTTAGATTGATTTTCAGAAAAAAGAGAAAATTTGAAAATTTATAATATTCATGTTACTAAATGAACTTTTTATTAGAAACTACTTTCACTTTTAACATTATGGTTGTGTATGCGTCTTTTTTTCCAGAAAAAAATTGTTTTGTTATAATTTCGACATAACAATGACCCACCGGTTGAATAAAACTGCATTATTTCCCCCATCTAAATCATCATTCACTAATATTTGTTCCACGTGCTTCTGTAACAGCCCAAAAGCCATGAATAATATACCCATTATGCAGCTTTCACCAATCATCCTCAACTCAGACAACAAAAACAAAATCAAGAAAAAATATAAAATAAAAGACCCCATTAAACTTGATATCAAACAAAAATTCAGCTTTACACAGAGTTTGAGCTGAAGCTCAGCTCCGTTAAATGATATGTACAAGATCGTTTTGAGCTCAATTTAAATAAAAATATGTATACTCCTTTTGTTTTGGAAAAATAAATTAAAATCTTTCTAATGTTCAAAAGAAGAATGACAATTTCCAATCAAATAATCATCATTTATATCTGAACATTTTTGAGGGAAAAAAAAATGATCCTTCTTATTTTGATAATTATGTTACTGGGTGTCATTAAGCATTGTTAAATTGCAGAATTGAAACCAGAGAAATACAGAGAAAAGGGAGGAAAGAAGAAAGAAGACTCAAGGATGAAAATCACTTTTTCATTGAATGAATTGATTACTTGATTTTACATCAAATACAATATTTACACAGGAAATTAACCAGCTAACTAACCAACCAACAAATGAATAACAAAAATAACAAAGTAACTAACTTGAATTACAACTAACTAACTTCCTTTTCGAGCTGGTTTTCCTTTCCGTTTCGATTTCTCTTCATTTCTTCTTATTTCCATGCTGTCAATATGAGATGCAAGACTCCACCCCCTCAAGATGAGCATGTTTGTTAGTAATGTTCATCTAGCGAAGATTGTGATGAAAAGGTAAAGAACCAAGAGGTTTTGTGAATATATCAGCTAGCCGAAGTTTGGAAGGAACATAGAAAATGTTAATGACTTCTTCATGTAATTTTTCCCTAACAAGATGACAATCAATTTGGATGTCCTTCGTCCTCTCATGATGAACTGGGTTAGTAGCGATGGATAACACAGATTCGCTATCTGTATAGAGTAAGGTTAGCTGAGGATGAGCAACGTGTAGATCCCGTAGAGCATAAAGAAACCATTGAACTTCACACGTAGTGGATGCAAGAGCCATGTACTCTGCCTCTGCTGAAGAACGATTGATTGTTACTTGTTTCTTTGATTTCAATGAAATCAAAGAATTTCCAAGAAAAATTCCAAAACCAGTGATGCTTCGGCGAGTGTCAACACGTCCTGCCCAATCACTATCCGAAAATGCCTTGAGGTGTAAATCTGAAGAAGAAGGGAATAATAAACCCTGTCCTAGTGTGGCTTTCAGATACCTCAATACTTGAGTTGCTGCCTGGAAATGGCTGACGGCTGGGAATTTCAGAAATTGGCTGAGAACTTGAATTGAAAAAGCAAGGTTGGGTCTTGTGATAGTTAAGTACAACAGCCTACCAATGAGTCGACGATAGCTAGAAGGATCTACATACAAGTTTGAATCAGATGTAGAAGGTTTGAGAGTAGATTGCATTGGGAAAACAGCTAGTTTTGACCCAAGAAAGCCAGTGTCTTCAAGGATATCAATAGTGTATTTCCTTTGGCATAAAGAGATGCCAATTTTTGACCTTGCAACTTCTAATCCAAGAAAATATTTGAGCTGGCCAAGATCTTTGATAGTAAATTTATCGTGTAGAAATGACTTTAATTTCTAGATTTCCATAAGATCATCACTGGCCAGAAGAATGTCATCCCCATATACCAAGAGAGCAATGAAAGAATAAGCAGCTTTCTTGATGAACAAAGAGGAGTCTGAGTTTCCTTGAACAAAACCATAATCAAGAAGGGCAAGAGATAACTTGGCAAACCATTGCTTATAAGCTTGCTTGAGACCATATAGACTTTTTAGGAGCTTGCAAACAGTTTGATTACCTTTTCAGCCATGCCAGGCGACAATTCCATGTAGACTTCTTCATGAAGGTCTCCGTGTAAAAATGCATTATTGACATCTAGTTGATGAAGATGTCAATTCTTGATTGCAGCCACAGCAAGAAGTCGAATGGAAGTGATTTTGGCAACTGGAGAAAATGTATCAAAGAAATCCAGCCATTCCTGTTGAGTGTATCCCTTCGTCACTAAACGTGCTTTATAACGTTCAATGGTCCCATCAACCTTATATTTGATACGAAAAACCCATTTACAACCAATGGCTACCTTATCTTTAGGAAAAGTAACGAGTTCCCAGGTTTTATTTAACTCCAGAGCCTTAATTTTGCTTTGCATTGCAGCTTGCCATTCAAGTATTTGGGAGGCTTGTTTGAAAGTTTTAGGTTCTAAGGAGTTTGAGATTGGATGCTGAAAATGTTTTATGTGATTTGGATAGTCTATTATCAGAGATAAAGTGCTGAATGGGATAGAGGGTATTGGCATATGAAGAGCAGTTAGGAGAATGAGATGAGTAGGTACTACCACAATAATAGTCTTTCAAATGAGCAAGTGTGTGTTTAATTTTGCTGGATTTTCGGAGTGGAAAGGAAATGTCAGAAGTAGTGAGTGGGGAATTAGAAGTGGTAGGTAGTTCTTGAATGTGTTATGGGTTGGAATTGCAACGAGAAGAAGAGGACCTGGAAGGAGATTGATCAAATTGAATTGGGACAAATTGAACCAAAGGTAAGGATGAGCTAGGAAGACAAGTATCTGGAAAAAAATCTGAGTGAGGAAATAGTAGATAATGAGATTCGGAATAGGATGGAAGAACTTTGAAAGGGAATATTGCTTCATGGAAAATGACATTCCTATATACAAATATTCTATTGAAGGTTAGGTCCATCAGTTTCTATCTTTTGAAGTCAGAGGAATATCCTAGGAACAGGCATTTCAATGCTCTTGAGTCGAACTTATGTCTATGTTGTGTCAAGGTGGAGGCAAAGCAAAGACAACCAAACACTTTGAGATGAGAAAAATTTGGTGCATTATTGAACAACATTTCAAATGGAGTTTTGTTTTGGAGAAGAGGTATGGGTATTCTGTTGATAATGTGTGCAGCAGTAAGCACACAATCACTCTAAAAACTAAGAGGCATATTGGCTTGAAATATCAGTGCTCTGGCTGTGCTTAAAAGGTGTTGGTGTTTTCTTTCCACCACGCTGTTTTGTTGTGGAGTTCCCACATAGCTCCTTTGATGTAGTATGCTATTTTTATTGTAGAATTTGGTGAGAAGGAATTCAGAACCATTGTAAGATCTTAAGGCATTGATAAGGACATGAAATTGGGTCTTTACCATTCTGCAAAAGGATTTTATTAAAGAGGAAGTTCCTGATTTTGCTTTCATCATGTAAACCCACGTACATCTTGTAAAATCATCCACTATAGTAAAAAAATACTTGAAGCCAGAATTAGAAACTGTGCCAAAGGGCCCCCAAATGTCACAATGAATCAATTCAAACATTTTATTTGATTTATTTTGAGATACAGAGAATGGAAGTTTCCTCTGTTTTGCTAGAGGACATATTCACATACAAGAGTACAATCAATGTTGATAGATGGATCTATTTGCTTGAAAGATGCCAGTCTTGAACTAGAAATATGTCCTGGCCTATAATGCCAAATATAAAGTTGTGAATGGGTAATAGCAAAGGCAGAAGGTGTGAGAATGATTTGTTTGCTGGACTGAGTCTTCGGGGAAGCTTGGATAAAGTGATAAAGTCCTTTCTCAAATGCAATCCCAATCATCCTCTTCGTTGAGTGCAGTGAGAAGCAGTAAAGGTGAGGCAAAGATGTGATTGTTTGGTGAGTTTAGACACGGACAACATGTTGAAGGAAAAGGTAGGAACACACAATATATTGTGAAGGAATAGGGAATCAAATAGACACACAGTACCAATATGAGATGCAGGGACTTTGACACCGTTGGAAAGATGGATGAATGCATTTATGGATTGAGGTGCAGTGTGATGAAAGAGGGGGAACAGATCATGTGATCTGTTGCATCCGTGTCAAGAATCCAAGAAGAATTGGACATACATTACCAGAGAAATGAGACGTGGAAGCAAAATTGACAGCTGGTCTGGTATTGTTCTGGCTAGGTCGATCAAACGATATTGAATTGGCAAGTACCATCAGTTTTTGAAATTTTTTTGGTGTAAAAGAAAACTTTGGTTGCTCATTACAACGCTAACCGGAAGCTTCTTGATTTGCAAATGCACCATGAATAGATGTGTTTCTTTTCCATTTTGGTCTGGTCCAGTTTGGAGGATATCCATGAAGCTGTAAACACCTGTCTATTTTATATCCATTATACCTATAATAAGTGCAATGTGGATCAGATGCCTTGGATATGTCCTTGAATTGGCTAATAAGTCTGCTAATTAGGGTGCTTTGCCATCAAGGCATGTGTTTCATTATACATGCTAGCATTAGTGAGTTGTCTTAGGCTCTCTTCTTGAAGCAGTAGTGAAAAGACTTTGGCTACGCTAGGTAATGGTACCGTGAGGAGCAACTGACTTCTAACAGGTGCAAAAGATTCATTTAGCCCAACTAGAAACTTTAGCACATAATCAGATTACTGCCTAGTTTGCAGAAAATTGAACAACTCACAGGTGCATGATGCCATTTTGCCACACGTACATGTTGGGAATGGCCTATAACTGATATATTCATCCCACAAAGTCTTAAACGAACTAAAATATTCAGTGATAGATAAAGATCCTCGACTTATATAGCTTAGGGATTTTTCAAGGTGAAAGACTCGTGGTCTCACTTCTCAGGTACCTAGTTTTGAGTTCATTCCAGAGATCAACAGCTGATGCCACAAACAACAATCTGTTTCTTATATCTTTGTTGATTGAATTCATTAACCAAGAGAGGACCAGATTGTTCGCACGCAGTTATGCCGTGTGATTGATAAGCTGATGAGCATGAGGAGGAGAAATTGTGCCATCAATGAACTTAACCTTGTTCTTGACTGTCAAAGCCATAATGACTGATCGACTCTATGTGACATAGTTATCTCTATTGAAAATTTCTGACACCAGTAAAGCACCAGGATTGCCACTTGGATGAAGATAATATGGACTTGAGGAATCGTCTAAAGGATTAATGGAGGAATTTTTGGGAGAATTTTTTGAATTTGCAGGAGGATTTATGGATGAATCCTCAAAATTCATGTTTGGGAAATCAATGTAGAAAATTCCATATCAGAATTTTTGTAAAGGAGAATTATTTCTTGCAGAGCACAAGCAGAAGGAGTTGCGGAAGTATTTAGCTAGATAAAACTAGCTCCGACACCATGTTAAATTGCAGAAGCGAAACCAGAGAAATACAGAGAAAATGGAGGAAAGAAGAAAGAAGACTGAAGGATAAAAATCACGTTTTCATTGAATGAATTGATTACTTGATTTTACATCAGATACAATATTAATACAGAAAATTAACCAACTAACTAACTAAACTAACTAACCAACAAATGAATAACAAAAATAACAAACTAACTAACTTGAATTACAACTAACTAACTAACTTCCTTTTCTAGCTGGTTTTTCTTTCCATTTCGATTTCTCTTCATTCCTTCTTATTTCCATGCTGTCAATATGAGATGCAAGATTCCAACGAGCATCAAAACAGTTCATGGATAATGAACGGGATCCTTTAGTCGATCTAACTTCTAAGTAAATAACGCATCAAGTACAATTGTGGGGACGATAAATACAATAATAGAATACAACACATAAAACTGCTGAAGACAATGGAACACCAACATCAATTAGTAAAGATTTAGAATTTTTTATTTTTTGTAGAAGTTACTGTTCTTTTTGACGAATGTTTGGTTAGTTTCAAGGAACTTTTTATCCCCGTGTGTTAGGATAACTTGCCTTTTTTAGCATAGCCAAACATGACAATGACTAAGTTTAATAACAAACTAATGCTACCCATCACAAATTGCAAACATACTTTCAAATAATTACTTTCGTTTACAGGGGCGTAAGATTCTTATAGGGTTTACGTTTAGGATCGATTCAGTAAAATAAATTAGGGATTATCTACACAAAATGAGCAACGGGGCAAGAGAAATTGGTATGTAACTGTAATTGAACAATAAAAAGAAGATTAGGACTCACCGGAGATGTGAAGAAACAGGAAATTGGTGAAAGTGAGCAACAGGAAAACGCTGTTGCAATCAAATCTCATCGTTCACGCACTTCTGAGTTTACAATTCAAACCCCAGAGCTTTGACGGTATGTTTACAATTCAGTCGAGATTACCTCTAATCCACC